GATAGACTCCTTCGACCGTTTTGCAATATCGGTTGCAAAAATTTGGTACCAGGTTCGTACAGAACAGTACGAGCATGGTTCGTACCGCCCGGTACGTACCGTTAGGTCCTTTTTCCTTTTTCCATGATGAAAACAATGCACAACAAACTCCACAGCAACATCGCACCGTGACGGTATTTGCTTTGGTCGTTCAACTCTCCCAGAGAACACAAAAGGGATATTCTCGTATCACTGATAGGTGGCTCCCCTCCAATCTATCTGTTAAAATCGGAGCACAGACTAGACCACGATGTTCCTAAATCTTTTCATCGTCAACAAGTCCGGGGGTCTGATCCACCATCGAGCACTCAGCCAGAAGGCACCGCACATCGGAACGAACGAATGGCTCCGGATCGGATCTACCTTCCACTCGCTCCACGCAATTGCGACCGAGGCCTCGCCCATCAAGCTCCCGGGGAACAAAAAGGCGGGCGCCGACGACGGCATCGAGGAAATCCAGGCCGAGGGCATGACGCTCGTGTGCCTGCAGACGCGAACGGGGATCAAGTTTGTGATTACCGCCGAGCCAAACACGGCGGTCGCCGTGGATCTGGGACAGGTGCTGAGAGAAATCTATGTCTTGTACACGGATTGTGCCCTCAAGGATCCCTTCTACGAATTGGAGATGCCCATTCGGTGTGAGCTCTTTACGCAAGGCGTCGAGAACCTGATTCAAAGAGTCGAAAGCATGATCAACTACTCGACGAGTACGAGTAGTACTAGCAATACTCGGGTGGTGACACTGAGATAATATGATAACTGAGACACACACAGTAAAACTGTGTAGCAAAAACTGTACAATAAGTGAAAATTCATTACGAATAAATCTGGGCGGATAAACATTTATGGTAAATCCAGAGTCGTGGGTTTTATCACACAGATGGAATAAAGCTTCTGTCAAAAATTGATTTTTATCTGTTTAAAACTGATAGCGGTCAAAAGGATTGCATATTTTTCAAAGATGAATATGGATTGGCGATGGATGACTTCAACAAAAACAAGAATACAAGGCGTCGACGACGCTAGTGTTCTATGTCGGTCCTTTTTTTGTGTCCTTACTCTTCTTCGCTCGATGTAGCATTGTTGCTACTCCCCTGGCGTCCAAACCAGTCGCTGATATCGTTTGATATGCGCTCGTTGTTGGCTTCTTCCTCACGCTCGAGCATCGTATAACCTTCGACGAACCGGGTGTAAAACGACTTAGGTTTTGGAGTGTTGTCCTTGATTGCCTTGAAAAAACGCTTGCGTGGATTGGTATCGCTCGGTGTTGCCGGTAGTCCGTCTGAGATCGAGGATTCACCGACAGATTCGTTGGTATCTTCGGCTCTGTTCGACTTCGTCGACTTATCTTCCGCCTTCTTCAGTTTTTTGGCGCGCTCTACTACTTGTTTGTTTTCTCTGGCTGCGCGAATGCCGTTCCATACTCTGTCCATCGTAATGATAAAGGTCCGCTGTGGAACGGTGAATGCAAGATAATGGTTGCCCAAGAAGCGTCCCGGTCTCAAGACAACACTCATTTCGAATCGAAGCTTTCCATTGCGGATAAAGATGGAACGAATGCAGTTGTCTTCTCCCATATCAAAACCACCGCTATCGTCGTCAACTTTGAACGGAGAGTAGATCGGAAAGAACGAGTAGTACGGTTCTGGACGTTTTGGCGGTGGCAAACCAAAGGTTTCACAAACAGCTCCGAGCCCCCGCTCGAGCGCCTTGGGACATTCAAACACAAAAGCTAGTTCTGGTTCCTTCAGCTTGATTACCTGGCCGTTCTTTCGGGTTCCAATCTTGGTGCGGAGTTTAAAGGTGCTCGTCACGATGGGTGCATCGGGATCTGCCCGTATTTTGGCCCGGCCGGTTACGATCATTTTGTCTCCGGAATCGAATTCCACGTTAGAGAGCCCGAGGACTTCTACCACCGGTGCGGTCTTCGATTCCATTTTCCATTGACGACCGAGAAAGACAGCTCCCTCTACGAGGTCTCGATAGGATCGCACCCGAACTCTCAGGGCTCTTGCCACCAATCGTCTCAGTGCAGCGTCCAGCAAGAAAGATCCCATGACGTCTTCACGACTGAAAGAAGCAGTCACCGTGGCTGTAAATGGCTGGAGGATCAGTGGACCTCCGGGAGTTATCTTCTTTATCACAGGAAAAGCTCCAAACACCAACCTTCGGAGATCTAGGTTCACATTCGAAAGCACGATCGATCCCATTTCCGTCTCCTCCTGTTCCTCCGTATTCTTTTCGCTGAAATATTTATCTCGCGCCGCCGATACCACCTCTCCGGCCTTGCTCGATATCCCTTCGGAAACCGATTGGATGGAATCCTTCATCGCCGTGAACGGATTCTTGCCGTCCTCCTTGGCTTTGCGCAGCTTGGCCATGTCATCTACCATTCGTTTGTATTCCTCGCGGTCGACCACACCATCGCCATTGTCATCGTACAACCGGACGAGGTCCGATGCCAACTCTTCGATGGAACTTTTGTCTGTTTTTAGACCGGTGATGCTGTTCAGTGCTTGGGCCAATTCGTCCGCGTCGAGAGTCCCACTCCCGTCTTCGTCGATGCGATCAAAACCTTCGTCGGCACAATCCACAACGAATGGCAGATCGGAATCCATCGAAAACGGACCCTGGCCGACATCGCCATCGCTTGTTTTGTTCTGGGTGGAATTAGAAGCATCTTCGTTTTGATCGATGATTTCTACAATCGTATTCGTTCCTCCTATCTGGATCGGTCGAAACCCGAGTCGCGAAAAATTAATCCGTATCTCTTCCACTTCCTTTCTCCAAAAGGGGGTTTTGGACATGGTGTTTAGTTCGATGTCAAGATCTTCGACCTCTTCCGCCAATCCGTTGACCAGGCCCATCAGCGACCGCTCTAAGTAGCTTTTTTCTTGGCTAGGGGTTGCGGTGACGAGCGCCTTGTTCAGCAAAAAAGACAATTTGTTTGTCTGTTCCCGGCGGATGCCTTCCTCGATGGTTCGTGCATTCCTCTTTCTCCAAAGTCGCCGTAGAAATGGCTTCCTGCTGTTGACCACATTGCCCACCACGTCGCTGGTTTCTCCGCCGTCATCGATCGGAAGCGGAGCAACCTCATCGTTCTTTTGGGATGGTGCTTGGCCGGATGCATTTTTTACGCGGCCGAAGAGCCGTACTCTTCGGAACAGCGAAGTTCGATTCTTGGAAGTTTGGACCTCGTAGTCTTCGTCGGCACTTTGCTCTTCGTTTTCGCAGTTTTCTTCTGGCGTGCATGCGGTTCCATCCGATTCCTTTGCAGAGGCCTCCCCTATTATTTGAAATTCACCGGTTTCCAAACCTTCAGCGAACAGTCTATCTTCCACTCCACTCATTCCTGTCTCGCTGGCTCCGTTCCCTTCATTCGCTTCTTCCGGGATGGAACCCGACTTTACAGCGCCGTTGATACTGCTAGAATTTTCATCAACGGTGATGTCGTCCAAGAGTTGTTCAAAATCGTACATGTCATCCGATAGCCGAGCGCTCATCATACCAGAAATCCCGTCACCATGAAAGAAATCCTCTTCCGAAGAAAAAACAACAGTACCATTTGTGTGGGGCCTGTGTTCGTTTATGGTATCGTCGTACGGGTAGTTGTCCTTTAGGCTAGTATCGTTGTAATTGTTGTAGGTTGAGTTTGTTGGTATTGTTCGATCGGGAGCAATCTTCGAGGAAGAAACCGTTGTGAGCGCGTAGGCAGGATTGTCCCTCCGTATCGTGCGCCCCCGGCGCATGCTGGTTCGGTGGTTTCTCGGGACGTAGGCAAACGCGGTATCCGCGGATCCGATGAGCCTTCCTCCGAGGCAAAACGAAAGGACGAGGGTTCTTCGTACGAGACGTTTGATAGCCTCCCTCTCTTTTCTTCCATGTCTCATCATCGTGCACAGCGAAGACAACGAACCGTGACGCCACAGGACCCGTAGTTCGATGCGGCCATTCGTTTCCGAATGCGCGTTCCTTATTGCTCTGCGATCTGTTCTCATCTTGGAAAAATGCTGTATGGGCCTTGCTCTTTATTCTAGGTTGGTTGCAACGGCTATCCGCATTTTGTTGTGCGAAAGGGACGACTCTCCCTTTCCTCGTACGGTGCAATCGAGCTTGGCGAAGAACCAATTGAAAAACGTTCTTTTTTCTTCAACGCTTCCCCCCATCGCTTTCGTTACGCGGATCGTTGAAAGCGCACCCTGTGGAGTGCACACCAGAAACACGTACAACGCGGCTGGAACGCACGGGAAGAAGTACGATTACGTGTAACAGTAACAAATACGGAACGTCATTCGAGCGATCGACTTCCATGATTGGTCTTTGTAACGACTACTTCGACTCAATCAATGAAGCAACGACTACTTCGACTCAATCACTGTTGAGTCACGAATCAAAAGATTCGAAAAAACGGTTTGTTTTTTGCATGATTTGCCCGCGCAAACGGCTCATTTGAACGGATCTTGGTTACCATTCACAAGACACACCGGCTTGTAACGACAGGAATCTGCGATCTAAACATCTTTAATCTGACACCCGCGATACCCGTAACAAGTACAAGTCCCGTAGTAATACGAGTAGTACCGCTCTATCCATCTGGCCGTTTTCAACCAGAGAAACGGCAGAACGCTACTACATCGGTGTCACGGCAATGCAATTCCGGTGACAGCATTTTCGCTCCCGACAAACCATAAAGACAGCCATTATGGAGTCACTAGCTGCGATGCCACTACAGCCAAACACCGATGCAACCATGGTGGATGCACAACACGAGACAGGACCAAACGACACAGATGTCGTGATGGGTTCGAGCAGCGTCGAAGATTCCAATGTTCCAGCGTCCGAACACAACGAAGCCCTGAAACTGGCGCAAGCAGACGCACTGGAAACCTCTCTGGCTCTGGAAAACTTGCTGAAAGGAATGGAAGCCGTAAAACGAATCCTCGAAGGCTCCCTCGAAGAAACCACGTGCGCCGCGACCTCCGGGCCAAACGACACGGCACTCGTCGAAGGGCTTTCGAAGAAGCTTGTGGGTGTGCTTGGATCCGAGCTGATCGGGCTCCTGAACGCAGCCCAGATGGCCAGGTGCCACGCCAAGCTCTGTGCGGAAGGCGCCGACAGCGCGCTCCAAGACCTCCAGCGGGCGAGAGACGAAGCGCAAAAGGCAAGGGACCGGGCCCACCGAGCAGAGAGGATTTCGCGCCGCTACAAGAAAGAGAAGCAGCTCCTGGTGCGAGAAGTCCGGGCGCTGCGGGGGGACCGCAGGGTCCTTGCGAAAGAAGTCAAGTCCATGCGCAAACTGGTCCGGCACAACCAACAGCTGGAGGCCTGGCGGCTCCTGCAGGACGCCATGGCGGTGCACGAATCGGTTCTCGCCCACAAGACCTTCACCTCGGGATTCGGTGGGATCGATCCTCCCGGTTCCGGCACGATCGGTACCTCCGAAACCAGCTGCAGGGACAACATCGTCCACAAAGCAGACGACGCGACCGTCGCTTCTTCGGCCTCCAACAAGGAAAACAACGGTCAAAATGCGTTTGCACCTCGCAAGGAAAACACAAAGAGAGAAAGAAAGAATAACATTGTTTTTGGAACGATCACAAATAAGACGAACCATCGAAGCAAATCACCGGAACTTTCAGCAGTGTCTGCATCCGAACCCAATTCCCAATCAACAGGAACAAAGGACAATGGAGACAAACCATCCAAGGTCGAGTCGAAACGTCCGTCCCAGACATCTCCGCTACCAAAATTAACGTCGCCCAACAAGTTGCTTACGAAGCAGCGCAAACTCGGCTTTTCGAAGGGATTTGGAAACAGCCTCAGCAACGGTTTGGACCGATTCAAGAACGTGTTACAGGATGCATCCGATCAGATGCTTCATCCAGACAACAACAAAAAGTTTCATCACAAGATTTCTTTGAAGAAACAACAAGGGGGGGGAAATGGACTTGCAACCGCAACAGAAACAAAGATAAACACAAACGACGTGGAGAACCTTTCTGCTGGCAAAGACGTCACGCATAAAGCTATACAGTCATTAAAGAATGGCAAAGATTCCAAACTCGTTGATGATGCGACGCATACAACAAAATCTTGTTCCTTCGATATGGATTCCCCGGCAAATGACGTGGAAAGCGATTCTGGTTTGAATCTCAATACCAGCATGATGAGCTGCGACATGCCAAACGACCTTGACTTACAAATATCGATTGACGAAGGGTGTTCCTTTTTGAATAGCTCTCATCACCTTGAGTGCAGTCCTGCTTCTCGATTCATGATTACGCCAGAATCATCACCGATATTAGGACAGTCCATCGACAAAGTTCCGAAACCATTGTTCAATCCGAACACACTGAAAACGCTTTCAATTCCAAGTGAGAACGATGGCAATATTGGCGTGAGCGCTTCGTCGCCGGCACTCAAACCAAGACCTTGCTCGTTGCGCCAGTAGCCGAGTGCAAGACGATAGAGTAGGCGCGTGGTTTCATGATATACACTCTTTAGTAAAACGTTTCTAGGAAGAACCCTCCATGATCGAACAAACGACAAGAAATTTGTGAGATTCATTCTTTTGATACAGTCGCGTCGCTGGCTGTTATGCATCAAAAGCATGCATCCGAACCTTAGTTTACTATCTATTTTTACATCAAAAAACAACATTTTGATCTTTGAGTCCCCCTTTGCATTCTTTCGCTACTAGTAGTTCTTTTTAGTGAAAGGATTCTTGTCTATATCCATTCTTAAGAATAGTCGTGCCTATCGAGGTTCTCACGCAGCATCATGCACCTCGCGGTCACGAGTCCGGCGGGATCCTTCCTGTGTTTCGCCCTTGCCGACCACACACTCCTCGGTGTTTTGGCTACCTCGTGCCTCCCGATCCCACCATGGCGTCCCGAATGGCCTCCACTTCCTCCCACGCCAATCCAACGCTCCGGTTGGCTTCTTCGACCCTCCCCACAACGTCGCAGGTCCTGGCGTCGATCTGGGCGGCCTCCCGGGCCTCGCTGTGCGGCATCGCGGCCTTGGCGAGCGCCAGCATCACGGGGATGTTGTCCGCCTCGTACCCCTGTCCCGAGACGGCCTTTTCGATCCGCGTCTTGATGGTGTCCTCGTTGCCCTTGGCGGCCACCAGCAGGTACCGGGCCTTGGTGCGGCACGTGGTATACTCGAATTCTCGTTTCTTGACGCGGCGCAGGAGCTCACGGGCCCGGTAGTTGAAAAAGGACGGGATGGCCACGTCCATGTCGAACGACAGGACGGTCGGGTTGTGGTCGGGGTCTTCGGGAGTCGAATACGCCGCCCTCCGCCGGGCGGTTGCGGAAGCGTTTGCGGGCTCCGGGTCGGACGGAACCACCGATTCGACCTCGTGTCCCGCCGGGACGTGCGGAGACGTCGTTTGTTCGTTCAGCACGTAGGTCAAAACGACGGGCATCACCGGGTCTTTTTCGTTCGATGGGTTGCTTCCGCTGCTCTTTTGTGGAGACAGAAAGCCCGCGCTCGACGAAGACGGTGCCCCGGAGCGCCGGATTAGATCCTTCTGAATCAGAAGTTGTTTCAGTTGTCCAAAGCTCATGCTCTCGACGTCAAAGATTTCTTTCAAGAGCTTGTCGCAGAGAATGTTCGATCTGTCCGTAGGATCGTGCAACCTGTTGTCCTGAATGTATCGAAAAATGGACATGGAAATCTCGTTGTAGGTCAGAAACGAAGGGACTCGAATATCGTTTTCCAACGGGATAGGCTCGTCGCTCCCAGCCGGAGAGTGAGACGAATCGTGTTTCTGGGGATCGCCCTCGTTGCCACCTGTTTTGGTGCCGTCGGAATCGCTGGGTTTCGATCGCGCCCCGCCGGTTCCGTCCACGGAGGAACCATCGCCGCTTTTTCCCAGCACGTGCCGAGGGAAGAAACGTTTCGCCAGGACCGGATGGACGATCTGGTACAAGGGTTCCGCGTCGACATCCTGTTGGTGCCGGAACTGGAACTTGTTCGTGCCTATGCCAGTGCCGGGACGCGACGGATAAAGCTCGATTTTCGCCACAATGCTATGAAACCGCATGCCAGGCGGTGGGGGGCGCTCGGAGAAGTGGTTGTTGTACTGGACAAAAAAGCCATGGCAATCATCTGTTCTTTGTGTTTCCGGTGTGTCTTCTTTCTCCCTTCTGGAATTTTTGTCCCAAACGAGTTTTGTCGGATCGGACGCCTTCAATAGTTTTGGGCTGACGGCAGCGGGTTCTTCTTGTACTTGCTGGCCCGAAGATTTTCTCTTGTTCGAGCGTGACTTCTTTGCCGAAGATGCCGAAGATAAAGAAATATTCGTCTTTCCCGAAGCAGCAACTCTAGGTTGGTAAATAGTTCGAAAGGTAACGTTAATCTTGTCGAAACAGTGCGTAAAGACGAGAGGTTGGACGGGTTCTTCCTCTTTTTCTCCAATCCGGTAAGACGGGTGAGAGCGGTCCGGTGTTGCTGAAGCCGTGGCAGGATTGTTTGTGGCCGCACTTCCCCCAGGGGCCGTACCCGAAGACTGCGCTCCACCATTCGAAGAATCCTTTTCACCGGATGATTTCGTAGGTTTGTCATTGGGGCGCTTTTTCTTGCTGCGTTTCTGTTCGTCTTCTTTTCCCTCGGCAACCACTCTAGCCGACATAACACCCTCGCTGTCCACTTTGGCAGCATTGGCATGATCTATGTTGCCAACCAATAATTTCCCCTCGATCACAAGTGTCCAAATCCCCTTGAACTTGTCAAAAAAATGCGAGACGAACATCCTAAGGTGGGTTCGACGGTGAGAAGGGGTCTGTTCGAGAAGGTTCATGATTCTACGGCGCGACTGCGAGACGCGTTCCTCCACGCGCATTTCCAGTTGCTCGATTTGTTCGAGCCGGCGGAAAAAGCTGGACCAGATTTCCGGAACCCTCGATGCCAGCACCTGCGGGGTTGCTTGGTGTGGTGGGTCTTGGGCTTCTTGCGAGGTGACGATTGCGGTCGAATCCACCGATACCACGGAATCCCCTTCCCTCCCACCACTTTCTTTCTCGGTTGTCGCTTTTGGTGAGCTGCTCATCACTGCATCATCGTCGTCGTTGTCGGCATTGCTGGAGTTGTTGGCAGCGGCAGCAGAGGGCCCCGCGATTTCCATAACAACGTCGGCATCGTCCCCCTGGCTTCCGTTCATTTTGTACGGTGGAATCAATACTTTTGGCTTAGGGTACGTTACGTGATTATGTCTCTGTTGTTTTTGTTGATCAGGCTGTTGAGACTTTTGGGTTCCTGTCTATCCGGTATCTACCGATTGAGCATGAGGGTTAGTACGAGTACCTTGGCGTCATCCAGTTAGTGGTAGTAAAACGTTTGGCGCACTTTTCACGGCACGCTGAGTGTTGGTACGGTACGATACATAGTAAATTACACAGTACCAGTACGGGGAAGTATTACAACTAATCATACCGTACTTTAGGTGCCGTAGGCAAAATACTGAGCGGGATTCCTAGCATTGATAGGTATGTTCCGTACCTCGGACCGTACAACCACGTCTTGCGCACTGCGCACATCACATTTTCAACCTTTAAAACAAACTCCTCTTTTCCAAAAACTATTCTGACGAATTGGTTTGACCGATTTTCGTTCTCAAGAGGTGGATCACATCAAATCAGGACTCCAGTGGCACAAATTCCAACCAGGGACGCCCACTCTGGTACCACGGCGCAAAGAGAAATGATAATTTCACCGCCAATGGTTACGTCTCTGCTTCTTTTGTGCTGCTTCATCGCGGTGCAATGGACGAGCGCGTTTGGTCCATCCAAGCCGACAACGAGATGCCTGCCTTTCGCGACAACGCCGAGGTCTTGTCCGCGGCCGATGGCAGCGAACGACGAGTCTATCACGGAGGACGATGACGAGAATGATAACAATATCGACGCACCCATTGCGAACAATCCAAAGAGCCAGATGATGGACTACGTCACAATGTTCCTCGACAAAACCGCCGCGGAAGAGGACGAAGCCACCGCCGATGACGACGACGAGAGCAAGGAGTATGCCGCAAAAATTGCGGACGCAACCCTGGAAGATATATCCGAGGCTACCCACCTGATTGCTATTCCGCTGGACACCTCCCACGAGCTTCTGATCGAACTGGAATCCGTTCAGAGGGCTATTTTGCACCACTGCCCGATTTTGCTCGACGCCTGCATCAGTGGCAGCCTAACGAGATTGCCTCTGCTGTACATCAAAGCCCCGGATGCCAATATCAACGACAACCCCCGAAACTCGGCCAGTGTCTCCACTTCGCTGGCACGTACCATCAAGCGCTTGGTGAAGAAACATATCTACACAACGGTTGCGAAGGAAGACGGAGACGACGAGGACGAGGACAACGACGAAGATGTCGTGAACGCCGATGGATACCGTCCACTCACTATGACCTTTCAGTCGTTGGAAATCGATGGAAGCAACAACAACATTCTGAATACAGTCGGAACATTCTGTGATGTCGAAGACACCGATGATGCCACGGAGGACGATGGTGACGCTAAAAACGATGACGAAGTAGAGGAAACACTTAACTACAACGAAAAACGATTCAATAATCTTATGAATGACCTCCAATCCGCCATTGCTGCACAAGGCTGGCAAATGGCATTTTCGCCAGATCCCAACAAGGCCGAATACGTCACGGAAGACAGTTCGCAACTGTTTCGTCCACGAGTGCCCTTTATGGAACTTCCGAAGAGTTTTGATGAAAATATCAATCGGTTCAAGAACAGCGAAATAGAAATCACGGACGAAAACATGAAATTTCTCAGGGCCGAGGAGGGAGGCAACGGAATATCACCCATTTTTTGGTCCAACTGGTGGGAAGACGTCTTTGCGCGGAACGTCCGGTTGCGAGAAATCGGGATCTATCCAACGAATCCAGCGCTGGACGATGCGGACGACGATGCAAGCTTGAAAATCAGGAACGAGCAGTTCTATCTTCCTCTGGAGACTATCACGTTGCCGGACGGAACCGACAAGATGATCAAGTCGGAGAAAAAGTTCCTTGACTACCACGAAAAGAGAATGAAGGAAAAGGAGAAGGAATTCATGAAAGAATTCAAGCAATCCGAAGAATCGGAATCGCCACAACCTTCGGAGAATCCCTTGTCGCCGGGATCGTCAACACCATCCGGCGAACCCGACATTCTTATGAAAAAGACGAGAAAGAGACTGGAAAACATTTATTTGAAAAATGTGGGATTCGAGGACGGCGATGCCTTGCTGGAGCAGCTCGAGAACGAGGCGCAAATGGACCAAGATGACGACGAAATAGATCTGGGAGAGACAAAAGACACTTCGAGAGCTAGTGACGACGATTACATCGAAGATTGGATGCGGCAAAAGATCATGCAGGCAAAGAATCCGTTGGTCGAAAAGGAGGAAGAAAACACCTTCGCCGAAACAAAGAGCGTTGCGGAACCAAAGGAGCCCGTCGAGGACACCAAGGATCCCTCCGCAACCGATCCGACCAACACCGAAAAAGAGAGCGACTACATGGATAGTTGGATGAAAGAAAAGATTAAGAACGCCGTGAACAATCTAGAAAGCGTGAAAAGCAGAGAATTTGTCAAGAAGGAACCAAAATTCTCCATCGAAGACAACCCCGTATTCAAGGCCTATAGGGAGGGATCGCTTGCCGAAAAGAAACCCGCACCACCACCAGCCAAGAAGCTCGGACCCTACCCCGGAAACGATCATTTTGTGGGAATCTGGAAGGTCATGGTCAATCCCATGGGAGGCGAAGACAACACCAGAAGCGAAGACGGAAGCGAAAACCTGATCCTCCGCGTGGACGGAACCACCGCTGCGGGCCCTACGCTCAACCCCGACACGAAACAGAAAGCAGCCGGCGGAACCTGGAAGATGCTTCCGCAGGAAAACGGCGACGTGGTGCTCCGAATCCGGCTGGTCATTCCCCCGGAAAAGAAGCGAATTTTGGTAATGGAAGGACGCGCCGTCCGGGGATCGCCGATTGGAATGGCCCTAGCGTCCAAGACGTTTGGCATACCGCAGCTGGAAGAAAAGGCCAGAGAAGCTGGCCAGAACGACGAGGATCGATTGACGTGTTCGGGCGAGGTAAGCAACCTGGATTGTTTGACGAACTTCTTGTGGACCGTTGCATCGTACGAGCAACCGCCACGCTATTTTTTCTATCAAAGCAAACTGCTCACAGGCGTTGATATATTTTTTTTTTTTTTTCGTCCGGCATTGCATTGCTCTGGCACAACCACGAATCGATTGCTGTGTAGGCTTGGATCGAAGATGCCGTTACAAAGAAGAACAGAATACGAGCCGAAAATTTCTACATCGAAAAATTGACGGGGGGAAAAGACCCAGAAAACTACACGATTACGATTCCAAAGACGCTTCGAAGGCTCGATTAGCTTTTCTATAGACAAAGCGAGACCTCCCATTGTGCCGGCGTTGCGCCGTACAAGGGGCTAGGCATAGCAGCAATCGAAACATTCGGACCCCACGTTGGTGCATGCGGATCGCTCTCTGGTCTTCCACCGAACGAATTGACAGGCATGAAACAGTAGTGTGATTAACATTATAGTACTTTTGTTCGTTCCTCGTTCTTGATAAAAGCAATAGAGAGAGTTTGTTTACCGCACTATCCTCAATAGAATCGGACCCAAACTCAGCGCGAGGGCCGTGGCCGTGGCGTACCCTAAAATCCCGATCAGCAAGGCCGGCAGGACCAGCTTTTTCCATTCCTTCGCTTGCGCCATGGCCGCCTAGACCACCGTAGCAAACCAACAACAAAAACAAAAGGAGAAACAAACGGCGAGCAGCGAAGGGTGAGGAGACCAAGCAGCCAGAAAGGCCCCCGTGGCAAAGCGGCGGAGCAGCAACGCAAAACCCGCAACGGGAGGGAAAGGACTCACCGCCGTCGTGGGCCCGCCCACGTTGGCGTTGCTGGCCAGGTAGAGCTCGCGGCTCGGGAGGCGGAAGATTCCCCGGCCCACCGCCACGAGGGTCGCAAAGTGCACCCCGATCTGGAGTGCCGAAAAGGCAAAGAGGGCCGGGGCCTTCTCGAAGACCATCTTGATCGACCCGGCGGCGCCGGAGCAGGCAAAGAACATCTGGACGAAGATCACCCCCAGGGCCGTTCCGGTCTCGCTGAGGGCCGAGAAGAAGGCCGGAAAGCTCGTCGCCGCCACCACCGTCAGGGCGGAGATGAGGGGCAGGGAGGAGGTTCCCGCCGGGAGCAGGGCCCTGGTCAGGAAGGATCCGGCCGTGACCAGCGAGGAGGCGACCGACAAGGAGATGGCGAGGGAGGGGAGCGTGATGGTGGACGGAGCGGTCTCGTCCTCGACCGCGAGCTCGGAGATGGCGGCTCCCTCCCCGCCGCTGTCGGCCGGGTCGGCCGTTTCGCCTTCCTCGCCGGCCTTGGCGATCGAAAACAAAAACGCAAAATACAGGGCCACCACCACGTTGTCGGCGGCAACTGTGGGGAGTGTCACCAGAGACAAGAGAGAACCAAAAAGAGAGAAAGAAAGAGAAAAGAAGGTTGAGCATGGAGGACGGGACGGGCACGGAGAAAGCCAACACAAACAAAACGGCATCCGGCACAGGCTTGCAGCAGCAGCAGCAACAACAACGACAACAACAACAACAACAACAGCCGCAACCACCACAGAAACGTACTGGCCGCGGCGACGGCGTCCCCGCCGATGCCCAGGGTCTCGGCCACCGCGACAAAGTTGATCGCCCCCCCGATGTGCCTCGCCGCCAGGGCGCAGGCGACCCGCCAGCCGGCGTCCGGCCCGAGGCTCCGGAGGGGGACCACGGGAAAGGCCACCAGGGTCGCCAGGACCGTCGAGAAGGCCCCGACGCAAAAGGCCGCCAGGAGGGTCCCCGTGTCGCGGACCACCCGCCGTAGGTCCGAGTCGTAGAGCAGCAGGGGGACCGCCAGGGGCACCAGGAGGCGGTTGACGAAGTCGTAGACGGGGGACCGGAAGGGGATCGCCCCGAGGTTGGCCGCGGAGAGGCTCAGGGCCATGGTGACCAGGGGGGCGGAGAGGGCCTTTCCGATCTTGGAGCGCCGCTCGAGGGAGGCCCCGAGGGTCGACAGCCACAGGACGGCGGTCAGGACAAAGCCGGTGCTGGAGTGGAGGCCCTTCACGGCCGCGCCGATGCCCCCGGCGGCCGAGAACGACCGCAGCAGCGTGGGGCTCGCGGGTACCGGCGCCTTGGCGGCGGTGGCCGTTGCGACTGCCGGCTGGTTGGCGAGCGTGGTGGCCGGTGCGGCGGCATGGAAGCTGCCCCGCACCTTCGCCAGAGAAAGGTGCGAACAGGGCCCCGCGAAGGCGTCCACCACGCCGGGCCCTCCCGAGAGGGCGTTGCGGAGCAGCACGAGGGCCACCAGCGTCTGGGCGAGTCCCGCTGCCCCGGGGCGGAAGCGGCGTTTTCGTCGGTGTCGTTTTGTTGCGATTGGCGCCGCCATGTCTTGGTGAGGTGGAGTGTTGTGGAGTGGTGTGTGGATCTTGTGCGTTGCTTGCTGCCCCGTTTCGAAGGGTGGTTGAGGTTGCCTTGGTGTTGCGGATCGTAGTACCGTATTCGTGCTGTGCTTGGTGTAATGTGTGCAGCAGGGCAAGGCACGGGTTGCGATGCGGTATGTACTGGTATGGACCGGTATTTGCTAGGAGAAGACGAGACGGCGTTGTTGGCGCATCGATCAAGCCATCATCTTTTGTCCATCGATCGATCCATCGATCAAAAACATCGATGCGACAGACATCTTTGGCTGTCAGTATGTAGTACGAGCAGCTACGTACGAGTACTCGTAGCAGTGACAGCGTTTCAGTCCCGTCCCGCCCGGGTCGTGGGTTTGCGTTTGCGGAGGGAGCTCTGTCGTGCCATGCGCGTGTTCGCACGGAAACCATCTGAGTCGCGCGCGAATAGGGATTGGTTCGATTCATTCATTCATTCGCGCCATCTTTTTGGGTTCCGGAGGGAAGAAGCAGGGGTCGTGACTCACGACGCAACTTGGAGGAAGCTAGAACAGAGAACGTACGAGTACGAGTACGTAACGTACAAACCCCAAACCAAGATCGAACCCGGGGAAGAGAACCAACCATGGTGGTGGAAAGGACGACCGATGAGCAGTAGGACAACAACAAAAGACCATCTCCGATCCCATCGCAACCTTATTGCAGTTGCATCCATAGTGTCGCAGATTGGGCACGGCACAGCACAGCACTATCCATCCATCCATCCATCCCGGTTCCGATCAATCGAATCGGGCGTTGTACGGAGCGGAACCGGCCATGAAACGGAGGGCGGCCACCACCACGAAAGCTGGGGTCCCGGGGCACCCTCCCGCAGGCAGCGGCACGGGTGGCCCCGAACCCGCGGGCCCGCACAAGCACGCGTGCGAACACGAATACACGGTCCTCTACTACAAGCGAAAGACCAACAAGGTCCACCGGTCCCGGGGGGTCTCCAAGCTCGACGGGACCCTCTCCCTCGCCGGCCCGGGGGGAAGCGGGACGGGGGCGCCGACCGCGACCCTCCGGTCCTCCGACACGGACAGGGTCGTCTTTAAGGGTGCCTTTCGCGGGAGGGCCCGGGAGGACGGCGAAAGGGGTGCCCCTCTACCCGGCCTGGTCCTGCGGGCCGACGAGACCGTTGCGGTCGGTCCCTACGAGGTGGAAATCCTCTCCCGCGACGACAGAGGCAGCGGCAAAAGCAGCAGCAACGCCACCACCAACAACAGCAACAACAACTACAACAACAACAACAATAGCATCAGCAGCCGCAAACCCATCCCGCTGATGGGACGGGACCCCAATCGAATCCGAATAGGGAAAAGAAGCACAAACAAGCCCGGAGTCCAGCGAAGCGGAATCTCCGGGATGCGGAGGGGATTGCTGGGCACCAAGCGACCGCTCGCGGACGCGCTCCGCAAGCCCCCGTTGCAGCCCGGGGGATCTAGCACGGCAAGGGCGGGCGGAAGCCGGGGCAGTGGCGAAAACGACGACGACGACAACGATGATTCGGGCAACGACGGCCACACCCACGGCGAAACGACCCCCTTCTCCTCCCCCGCGCGCCGGTTCCCGCTGCCCCCGCGGGCCGGGCCGAACGCGAGGCTCCCGGGCTTTCGGAGGCCCGGGCGGACCGCTTCCGGGCTCGGCAAGACCAGGCCCGGCCCCTCCTCCCGGGCGGGAACCGCAACCGCAGCGCCGACCGGGAACGCTTCTCCCTCCCTCTTCCCGGGCGCGGTGGGGAATCCGGTCGTCCCGCACTCCATCTCGAGCCGGCTGAGGCCGCACCAGGTCGAGGGGGTGGAGTTCCTTTGGAACTGCCTCACCGGAAACGGCGCGGTGGGGGAGCGCTCGCCGCATGTTGGGGGGGAAGGAGCACAAAGGGCGTCGACCAGGGGGTGCATCCTGGGGGACGGTAGGTGGCTCGTGGCTCGTTTCTTGTTGCTTGTTGCTTCTTGATTGTTGCCTGTTGTTTCGCCGTCTGGTTCCTGCCTCTGTTTCTGGAATTGAAGCGTCGCGTCCGTCCACTCACCCGTGAATTCTTTGCGACACGCCCTTCTCTTGCCGTCTGGTTTCCAACGGCGACGCGATCCGGAACACCAGAAATGGGCCTGGGAAAGACCCTGATGACGATTGCGACGATCTCGGCGCTTCACCGACAAAAGAGGACCAGCGTGAGTCACCAACCAAACAAAGACGCTTTCTTTCTGTATTGGGTTCTTGCCGTCGTTTCGGTTCCGATCCATCGCGTCGCTCCCCAACCCACCAGCTAACAAACCAAGCACTCGCAACCTAACCTTATTGACACATCCCGTCTCTTCTATCCACTCTCGCGATCCCCTCGCTCCTCCAGAGGTTTGTCGTCGTCTGCCCGTCCTCCCTGGTCGGCAACTGGGAACGGGAGTTCGACAAGTGGCTCGGCAAGGTCGGCCTCCCGAAACGGGTGGTGGTCCGGAAGGGCGGGGAGGAGGGACTCTCGAGGCTCCGGGCCTTCCACGCAATCAAGCCGGGAAACCCCTCGGAGGTCCTCATCGTCTCCTACGACCTCTTTCGGACCAAGGCCGCGATCCTCGAGAAGGTCCGGGGGGTGGCCCTCCTGGTCGTAGACGAGGGCCACCGCCTCAAGAACACGGCCGGCTCCCTAACCATGACCGCCCTCGAGTCGCTCCCCTGCGAGGCACGCCTGTGCATCACGGCGACGCCCCTCCAGAACAACCTCGGGGACGTCTACACCATTGCCACCTTTGTCTGCCCCGGGGTCCTGGGGGACCTACCGACCTTTCGCAGGGAGTACGAGCGGCCGATCAAGGCGGCCTCCCGGAAGAACCCCACCGCCGAGCAGAAGCGCGCGGGAAGGGAGGCCTCGAGGGTCCTGGAGGGGATCCTCGGGTCGATCCTGCTGCGCCGCCTCCAGAGGGACGTCCTGCGCAAGAGCCTGCCGCCCAAGAGCACCGTGCTGCTCTTTTGCCGGCCCACGCGCGAGCAGCGGGAGCTGTACGAGACCACCGCCGGTGGCCACGCCGGTGGCGGCCGGTCCACGGAACACCTGGTGGCCCTCTCCGGCCTCCGCAAGATCTGCACCCACCCGGGCCTCCTCGCACCGGGCGATTGCGCCGGGAGACGCAGCGGTCCCGGTGGGTCCGGGGCATCGGGCAAGCTCTCGGTCCTGCGGAGGCTCGTCGAGGCCATCCGGGAGCTGGCCCCGAACGACAAGATCGTGGTGGTCTCGAACTTCACCAGCACCCTCGCCCTCGTGGAGGAAACCGTCCTGGGGCCGCTCGAGCTGGGCTTTCTCCGCCTGGACGGATCCCTGGGCGGCCCCGAGCGACAGCCGCTGGTGGACGCCTTCAACCGGACCAGCGCCGATACGAACTTTGCCCTCACGCTGAGCTCCAGGGCGGGCGGCGTGGGCCTGAACGTCACCGGTACGTCCCTTTTCCTCCGGTCGGCCTGGTTGTGGATCTGCGTTGCTTTGCTTTGGTCTGCTTTGCTCTCCTGCTGATTTCGTTGGGAGCCTCGCTGCAACTGCGAGCGGGCAAGGCCGGCACCCGTCGCCCGGTCCGCGTCGGTCCGAGATGGTGCTCCCTCCCTGGAGCATCTCCCCCCTAACGTCTTTTGTTTGTTTTTTTTGGCTTGTTTGGCATCCCCGCTCAGGTGCAAACCGGCTGGTCATGGTCGACCCTGACTGGTAAGTGCTTCTCCCCGCGGGGTGGGTTTGGCCGAACTACGTTGTTTTCTCACCGATTCATTGCTGCTGTTGTTCCTGTTATTGTTAATGTCGCTGTTGCTGTTGCTATCACCTCAGGAACCCGGCAACAGACGTTCAGGCAATGGCAAGAATCTACCGGGAAGGACAGAAAAAACCGTGTTTCGTGTATCGCCTTTTTACGACAGGTAAGCCTTCCGGAAAGCGCACACACCACACCGGCACCGGGGGGAGCCGGGAACCGAACCTGCGTCCATTCTCACCCCGCCGTTGTTTGCTTTCCCAGGAACCATCGAAGAAGTGATTCTGCAAAAGCAAATCCAAAAGGAATCCCTTGCGACCTCGACGGTAGACAGGGCCCGCGCGTCCGGGAAGGACGACGGGTCCCGCTTGAATGCCGACGAACTGAAGGATTGTTTCACCCTCAAAGACGAGGCATGCCGGTGCGATACGAGGAGAAAGATGGGGAACTGGCCCGACTATGGTACGTAGAACGCGAGCCGTGGATGGCACTGTCCTCCGGTCCGCTCTGGCATCGCTCGTCTTTGTTTGCCGCGAGGTCGTGTTCTGACCCTTCTCCTTCTCTTGGTTTCAGGCGGAGCGGCGAGCCTGGCCGACCGGGGCTGCACCGATCCGGTGTTGCTGGCGGTTGCGGCCGGAGAGGAACGCGATGGCTCCCCTGTGCTTTCCTTCGTGCACGTTGTGGAGGAAGACAAAGAACAGGCCCTCCGAGACCCCACGAGAGGTGGGGGCAGCCGGGGGGGCGACGAAGAAAAACCCGATACCGATACCAATTGCAACAGCGACGACGACGACGACGACGGCGATTGCAGTCATGGTGCCGGGGAACACCAGAAAGCTTGCTTTGAAAGTTCAAGCAGCGACGAGGAATACGAATTCGAATGAAGCACCGGCCCTCGAAACGCCCGGAGATTGCCGTTCACAAACCCGTCGTCACAAGCTCTTTCGAATCCGAATTGTATACACCGCATGACGTTTGGTAGCACTCGCTGCAAACAGCATGAAAGTAACACGTGCATCCATCGCAATCTGGGTGGAAACGTGGTAATGATCTAGTAGCTATCGTACAATCTACTTTTGTGTGACTAAGTACAGCAAGGGTTTTCGCTGCGGTCAGTGCTTCTTGGCTTTTTCTGCGCGCTTTTTCTTTGCCTTGTCGATGAGTTCCGCCTTGGTCTTTTCCCAGTCCGGAACGGGCCCGATCTCGACCTCGGCCGGCCAGGAGATGGGGGGAATCTGGTCCGGCCTGTCGACCGGGAGAATCGTGTACATGTTCGGATCGATGGCCCGGGCGACCTTGCGGACGTACAGGGCACCGGACACCCGTATGTTGTTCAGGTCGTAGGTCCTGTTCGGAAGGTGCAGCGGCGGGTCGCGATTGCAGAGCAAGCACGGGTGAGCGAGAATCGTCGATGCAAAACCAAACCAAACAAAACAAAACAAAACAAAACAAAACAAAACAAAGCAACAGAGCGAAAAATGCCAACCGCACACAGCACCCAAGGCGGACAACGACGCACGCACCCCAAAAAATACGGACCCCAGGGCCTGGGTTTCCCGATCCCGGTCGAAGCGGGAACCTCGTAGCGCTGCTCCGTCGGATAGTACCCCTTCGAGGTCGGGACGTGCTCGTCCATTCGTTCGTACCGGATCGCGTACATGGAGAGCCCGGGATCCGCGTCCAGGAAGATCCCGTCGTCCCCGAGCCTCGGAACCGTTTCCGGAAAGTACCGCATGAGCATCGACGTGAAGAAGGTCTCGTCCGCCATGAGTTTCTCCGTGTCCACCAGCCAGTCGCGGAACCGGCTCGGCAGGCTGTCCGGGCGCGCGAGCTGCCCGACCAGGAACCCGCAGAACCCGGGCGTCAGGGAGACCCACTGGCTCCCAAAGTAGATGTCGACGTTTGTGTCGTGGTGGATCGTCCCGGTGTCGTCGACGTACTCCAGGTTCGTGGGGGGATGGTGGGAGTAGTGCGACCGCTTGTGCCACTTCTTGGGAAAGTCGAGGATCGGGGTGGGAACCAGGCCGGTCTCGCAGGCGATCGAGGTGACAAAGTTGGTCCCCCTCAGCGGGCCACCGAACAACCGGGCGATCCGGTCCTGGGAGTAGACCGGCAGCGAGTCCCCGCTCAGGTTGACCAGGACGTCCCAGTCTCCCGCGTGCTCTCGCACGGCCTTTTCCATGGCCCACAGCGTCGGGAGGTTCATGGACCAGCCTCCCCACTCGCAGTCGTAGACCGAGTCGACCTCCACAAAGGAGCCGCAGGGACAGGCCTCGATTTCCTTTTGGAGGGGCGAGCCGTGGTAGGGCCCGAGGCCGAACTTGGCGTCGATGTGGACGAGAATCGTGTTCCGGGGGTGCCTGATGGCCCGGAAGAGGTAGAGGGCGTCCTCGAGGGTGCGCTCGTTGTGGATGCCGATCAGGTAAAAGATCCGCGCCAGGCAGGGTCCGTCGCTGCCGGCACCGCCCTCGTGGGAACCGGTGCAAACGGCGGGGGGCCGATCGTCCCCGTGGGCCCGGGGCGACGCCGGCGGGTGGCAGGTACAGGAGTGATCGGAAAACAGGGAATGGTCGTCGGCGGAGGGACCGGCGAGGAGGCCCCGCTTCTCCTCGAGAAGCTCTCTTGCCTCGGTGGCGGTTCCGGTGGAGTTTCCGGCGCTGCGGGGTCCGGCTCGAAAATCATCGGCACCGGCACCGCTGCTTTGGCTCTCGCGGCTGAGTGCCGGGACGGGAGACCGTGCCAGCAGGCAGAGCCAGGCCAGTGCCACCACCAGCGTTCTTCGTCCGCGATCGAGGAGCCCGCGTCCCCGGTGGCGGGTCTTGCCGCGGTCACGAAGCATGGTCTCGAGCGTGGAGGGGTTTGGCTTGGCGTCCCTCTCTTTTTCTTTTTGGTGGCTCGTCAATGGTGCTTTGCGTACCTACAAGTGTGGTATGGTAGTGAACAAACAACAAAAACCGCCACGAACAAGTTCCCATTCGAGTTGGAATTTTTCGACCAGAAAAATGCTGCGGACCGCCCTCGGTTCGTACGTACGTTTGTAGCCTACCAGGTGCCGTATCGTACGGTATGAGACTATGATCGTGTCCTACGGCACGATTGCCCACCATGCTCGGAGTTGGCGGCAGGTTTTGAGATCCGACACGCCGAAACAATACACCACCAAGCACATACGAGTACCGTACACACCACGCCCGACGCAACAGCATGAACTAGTACGTACTGTACAGTACCAGGTACCGTACGTACCACTAGTAGGCGTGCCAACGTAGCGGGGTGCGTTCTTGGATCTCGAACAAGTCAATCCCAAAATCGATCGAATCATTTTGAAAACTGACGCACCACGACGATGATGGTACAATACTGTACTACTGTTACACTATTTGCACAGCATGGAAGTTTCGATCGGTACGAGTACGAATTGCAACCGCAACTCGTAGTTGATCCGACCCCAGACACCGACCCGAACACTCGACGGCGACGACTCCCTTTGTGTACGGTACGTACGCACCCCATTGCTTCCATAAGGGCACAACCGCGAAACTCGGGGCAGAAGAAACGAAAGACAATCCCAACACCCACTCCACCAACATCCGTCGGATCACCATGAGCGCCGATCGCCACCCTCGTCGGACCCGCCGTGTGCTCGGATTCGCTTACCTTCTGTCGATCATCCTGGCACGGCTCGATGCGGGAACGTCCTTTTCGCTCCCACCCCCCACGAGACAACCGGCGTCCACCTTTGGGGCGAAACAGAAACAGAAACCACCACCGAACGCCCTCGCATGCAACCACCTCCGTCGCCACGGATCATCGATGGGCCGCACCACCCGCCAGCGGCCCTCCCCGGCGACCGAGATGGCGGCCACCGACGAAGGAGAAACGGAGGCCGACGAGAACGGAAGCAACACGATACGGAACTGGTTCTTCGGGCTGGTCCTGCCCCTCCAGCTGGTGTACGCCTCCAACCAGCTCACGAGGTCCTCCATCTACTACCTGGTCGACTTTTCTCCCGGTGCCACCAGTGGGGCCACGGCGGATCCCTTCCGCGCCATGAACGTGGCGATCGGCTTCTCGGAGGCCCAGTACGGACTCCTGGCCTCGCTGGCCTTCACGGGACTCTTCGCCCTGGCCTCCCTCGGCGCCGGGGCGGCGGCCGACAAGTTCGACCGCAAGGCGATGACGGTCGGCTCCGCGGTGGGCTGGTCCGCCGCGATCCTCGGGACGGCCCTCTCGACAACCTACACCGAGGTGCTCTCGTGGAGGATCGCCATGGGACTCTTCTGCGCCTTTTCGACCCCGACGGCCTACACGCTCATCTCGGAACGGGTCCCGAAGGACCGGCTGTCCCTGGCGACGAGCATCTACGGGACCGGGGTGGCCCTGGGCGGGGCCCTGGCCTCCCTGTCGATCCTGCTGGACGACCGGATCGGCTGGTCCCAGACCCTCCTGGCGATCGGGGGTTCGGGCCTCCTGTCCGCCGTTCTGGCGGCGGTGGCCGTGCCGGGCGAGGCTTCCGCCACAAAGGACCCCTCGATCGAGGCCGCCGGCGACGCAACCCCCGGCGCCGGCGAGCCGTCCTATTCCTTTGCGGACGGCGTGTCGGAAGCCCTGGCCACCCCCCGTGCCAGGTGGATCTACGGGGGCAGCTTCCTGCGGTTCTGCTCCGGCCTGTGCATAGGCGTCTGGTCGGCACCCTTTTTCCGGGAGGCCTTTCCCGACCACGCGAGCGACTACGCGGTGGCCCAGGCCTTGATCACCGCGGTGGCGAGCACCGTCAGCGGCCTCGCCGGGGGAGCCGCCGCCGACTACCTGTCCTCGGCCGTAGAGGCGGACGGCGAAAAGGACGGCGGCGAAGGAGCCCTCGACGCCACCGGAATCCGCCTGTGGATCCCCGTGATCGGATCGCTCGCGGCGGCCCCCGCCTGGTACCTGGCGCTCCATTCCACCGACTCGTTCCAGGCCGCGATGCTCTGGCTGACGGTAGAGTACCTCGTCGCGGAGTGCTGGTTCGGACCCACCATCAGCACCCTGCTCTCCACGGTGCCCTCGAAGGTCGGTGGGACGGCCCAGGGCATGTTTACCCTGACGGGTGCCCTGGCCAACCTGTCGCCGACCTTTCTGGGGTACCTCTACGGCCAGGCGTCTCTGTCGCCTCCGTCCGAAGGGGGCATCGAAGCGGCGGCGCAGTCGGAGCTGCTGCCGGTGCTCCTCACGACGGGTGTGTGCTTCGGGTACGTGTCCTCGGCGTTCTGTTTCGCCATGGGGGCGCGGACGCCCCCGCCGGCGGCCGCGATCGAGGCCGAGGCGAACTGAACCAACGATCCGAATCGAAGCGAAGTGAAGTGAAGTGAAGCGAACCGCGGGTGCTACAGCAACGGGCCGAACCGCTGCACCTCTGGGGACGATTGCAGCCGCGAAGCGGTGTTCGGTTCGAAGAAACCGGTGCATAACAATATATTCCATGCAAAATATAAACAAATTTCATTTAGACTATGTTCTACCGTACAAGAACCAACGCTTGCCCTGACTTGATCAAACCCTTATTTTTGGAACGATCGAATTGCACTGGCAATACCTTCCTCGCCGTCTGTTGGAAAATCAAAATGCTCCCAGGTGATCATCTCAAACAGCGTGATATAACGACGAGACAATTCCAGCACAAGCTCACGCGGTGGTTCCGGCAGGACCTTTTCCTTGTAAGGGTCGCATCGCTCCCGGAACCACAGCCGAAGAAATTCCTTGTCGATGTTTTCGGGTTCCATGCCTTTTGCAATCCGATCCGCGTACGAGCTTGCCAGCCAATATCTGGAAGAGTCGGGTGTGTGGACCTCATCGATCAAGAGTATTTCGCCCGTTTCGAGGTCGCGCCCGAATTCGTATTTCGTGTCCACGAGGATCAATCCGTGCTCGTCCGCGATCTTTTGTCCCAGCGCAAAGACCTTGAGAGCTGCCTCCGCACAAACGTCCCAGTCTTCTTGGGTCATCCATTTTTCTGCAATGATTTCTTCGGCCGAAATTGGACGGTCGTGCTCTTCCTCCTTCGTTGTCGGCGTGAGTAGATTCTTCGCCAACTTTTGGTTCTTGACCATGCCATCGGGAAGTTCGTGGCCACAATAGTTGCGCACCCCATTGGAATAATTCTTCCAAATGGAGGTATCGGTCGAACCAGTCATATAAGAACTGTCCATGATTTTTGCGATTCAATCAGAATTTCATTGAGTTGATACACGACCACAAAAATTAGATTTTGAAAGAAAATAAAGGAGTCGATTTACTGGCAATGATCTTTTCATTTCCCGTTTTAGATTCAAGAAAATCTCCATTTGGGTTCACGAGAACTTACCGTACAACAAACTCGATCGGAAAAGGTTGGCATTTCCTGGCGATCGTCACGTATGGGTGGGGAATAGCCACAATATGATTCTTGATGATATCCTTTGTCTGTTCAAACCAGAAAGCGCTAGTTAAATTCAAGACAGCTCCTTTGTACGGAACAAGTGCCAACTGCCGGTCAAATCCAGATTGCCGATCGGTGGTGACCAAAGCGATTGTCTTGTCGTCGACCTCGATGCGGTCTCGTACCTTTCCACGCTTGGCTTCGAGCCCAATATTGTCTCCGGTGACTTGCAAATTTCGATCAAAGACGTTCGACATGGCCTTGTGATACTTGAAGGATTTTGTTTGCAACTGAGAATCCCTAACCAGCTTTGCCTGGCGTCTCTCTGCTGTCGCTTGACGGACTTTCTTGGCGACGGCCTCGCATCCCAGACCGCACCATTTCGCTACCGTCCAAGCGATTTCATCGGGTTCTCCCTCAGCTTCAACTTCCAACACGGGGTAAGGTGATTCTTCCTGCAAAAGATTATAGGCTGCCAACGAGGATCCAGAATAAAAAACCCAGACCACGTTTGTTTCCTGCTGGACGGTCGTGAGCAAGCGATCGATCGGCGATTCAGAGGAACGGACTGTCACATCCAAAATGCCGTATTTTGTAGCGAGAGCTTTGGCTACCGAATCGGCTGAAGCGAATAGCTCTTCCGTAGGAACGGCGATGAACACCTTTGACATTGTGATATTCTTCTGTGATTGAAAGTCACCCTGTTTAATATCACAACTACTTTATTCTAGAATTCTTTTTGTGTTCGAAGCTACAAGAGATGTATCGTGCAGTAGAAGTACTTCTCAAGGTTTTGATGGCAAAACATCCGTGAAAATGATAGGTGATCAGGTTCGCGAACGATTGACAGACCAACATTCGGGTGGAAATCGAACGGGACCTTTTATTCCCGAGATACCAAAAACTCACTCATACTATCGTACGGTACCGTACGTACCGTAGGGTAAAATTACGTGATGGGTTATAATATTACCGTACAGCCCGCCCCCATTATAGTACTAGTATTTTTGAATATTCGCGCGCCAACGCCACCAAGAATGTCAGTTATCAACGGTCATTTCGGATCTATTTGTTTTTAACTGAACGATCATAAAACTAGTAGCGTAAGTACGATACTCTACTTCTTAAGAAGTATTGTACAACGATGCTCATTCAATGGCATCAAGGAAAATGAAAATTACGTCTTTCTCACTTCGTTGGAAATGAAGTTTGGCTCATGATATAAGATTCGACATTTGTCTAAGGGCAAGGCACCACTCATAGTTGTATATATCCTCTCAACCTGCAGAAGAGTTGTGATGTCCTACATTTTGTATTTGAAATTGTTATCACATCTTCCATAGTTCCTGAGAGTCAAACGCAGTTTTGACGCGGTTGTCGATAAACAATAATGACGGATTCTTTCATCCAGTCGATGACATTTTCGCGACCAAAGGATTATCTCTTTGCATACGACTGCGACAACTGTGATGACATTCCTCCATCGATTAGGGAGTTTTTAAATGATAGGAAAAGGGAACGTATGGCAACAGGTCTGGTTAAGAGAACCCAGCAACGAAGTCTAGTCAGTCAGCGCGGCCAAATAAGTCTGCATTCTTTGTTCATGCCCAAGTATGCCGAGCCTGTGATAGAATTTGGAAGCAGCCATAGAATTGTGTGGATAAAACGACTTGTCAAGCGTAGCATGAATCAGAATAATGACACTACTGAAAGTGTCGACAGCGAGGGTCCTATTCACAACGGTGATAGCATTCTACAATGGATAGGGAAAGGGATCATCGGTTCATCCGATGAAGAAAAGGGGAGAGTAAGTTTGAACGATTGGACTGGGGGGAGCGTGCTTTTTGTTCCTTCCAATGGTGGAAAAGCCGTTGGCTGGATACATACGACTGGAACCACTAAGATCAACGCTGAAACTCCTTCTGATGGTAATGTTGATAGCTCTTCAAGCACAAACGAAACAGAGGAAGTTGAAATCAAGAAAGCAACTGAAACACTCGAGAGTGACAATTTAGCAATCCTATACATGGCAAGCATTCCGGTAGATATGTTAATTAAAAAACGAGAAAAATCAGAAGAAACCAATCAAAACTGGGCCGATACTCTCATTACATGTTGCCGAGAAGGCGTTGAAAGATGCAAGAAAGAATCGAACATTCCATCGTATTATAAATTTCCTGCAGAAACAGCATTGCTCCTGAAGGAAGCCATGCGCGAGCTGGAAAACACAGAAGTACAGAGCGATAGGAGCGAACCTGCGCCAAAAAGAGTTCGTCAGAGTAACCCAGATGCGTGATGCGATCTTTGGCACGATCACTGTCAAGGCGTTTCTAGAAACTCGAACAATATTGTTTAAATATTAAAAAAACCGCGTTGGGAGTGAGATTTATTCCAGTACGAATACCCCACAATGCTCTCGTGATAATCGAGACTGGGATACCACATGTTTCTTGCCTTTGTCAGTAAATTACACAGAGAAGTACAGTGCTTGCGGAGCACATTTGTTTCGACGTTCTTATTTCCGTTTTGCCGTTTGTCTTTAGAGGTGACACTATCTTCACCAATATACATACTAGCTCAGCTTCATCGCTGACTACTTTTCAAAATAATTGAACATCTGAATCTACATCAACTTCCATAGATGTTTGTAGTGCTATGTCTTAAGCAACACCAGAATCACTTGCATCAGAATGCTCAAAATTAAGATAACGAAGTCATGAGTGAATAAAAAAATATGGTATTAGTATCGGCTATATTTTACTATCAGTTTGTATTATTACGAATTTCTTTTACTATTGTAGAGAAATTAGAATTTGAGACAATCATACTAGTAGTCTTTCCTTTCTGGTGGTGGTGGTGGAGGCTTCCAGCCAGCACCAGTACAAGGAATTTTCTCTTGAAAGATTCTGATGGGATCTTGCTGTTTGACTCAATGAAATGATGTTATTCACATCTTTTTGTGAAGGACAAGCAGTTTCTGTGAGTGTGTCAAAAAATGCATACTAGGTAAAACAGTACTACCATTTGTCTGTACTCCAACTCCAACTTACAACTAATTTGTTAAACACAAGCAACAACGTCCAAGGACCTCCTCCCCGCTCCTCCTCATCATGCTGGGGGGCTCAGGGAAGCACAACAAGAACAGAACAACAACAAGAGTAGAAGTTGTAGTAGTATGAGGCTGGCACTGTAAAACTACAAAGAGAAAAAACTTCAGATTTTTATAATTGTGCTGGATTTTGATGTTTGGGAGGAGATACTACTAGTTGGCTACGGTGCACTGCACTTCACTATCTCTATCTTTAGTGCGTGTAGCCACTAACTTTGAAGAATTCTTACAGCCCTGAGGAAACAAAAAGATATTTTTTTAGTGTAGATTTGTACAAACCCCGGTATATTAATTTTTGCAAATAAATTAGTACCTTTACCAAAATAAATTATTTCATTTTTAACTTAAACATTCAGTCATTATTGTGACAACAAGTCATTCTACTAGCAATAACCTAGTTTTTGCACCGTAGTAAGTTTTTTTGGCCGCCGCCATCCTTCAAAAAAAAAAACAAGGCGGCGGCCGCAACCAATACTAGGATGGTGGGACAGAAAATTCTTGAGTGAGTTTATTCACTAGTTATTCGGGATTCAATTGTCTGAACATTTACGCCCACTCGTTAGGTTCGATTTTCGTCTAGTACTGGTACCGGTACGATGGACAACAGAACAAATTCTGATTTGTCGTACTTTCACGTCTCGCGGAAACCGGTCAATAATGAAACAACGCGATGCGGCACATCGGCATCGTGAACACTTGATAGTTCACGACTTAGAGGGTTTAGAAGTTCAACTACACCATCAAGAAGTAGGGCGGTAGTGCAGCATTTCAGGTGGTCTCTCTCATTCTGTTTATGGTGGAGAAAAGTGTGAGAGAGTATTTGCGAGGAACGATGACGAAGAGCAACCAGAATGAGATGGAATCTTGCAGATCCAGTCTTGGAATCCGATGTTTGCCAGTGATCAACGATCAATCCGAATTTCTTACTATTCTTGTTTCAAGCTTACGGTCACTATTTGGAGAGCTGGAATCCCACAGTGCCGAAGTGAAAGTATCGCGGGTACCCGACACACAGGAAGCGGAATACCATTTCATCTTGGAATGCAACAAACAATCTACTGACGCATTACGAGCATCTCTCACTATGGTCACAACTCCTGCTTATCTAGAGCGCAACATTTATGTGTTTGATATTTTTGATATCTCGTCATGAAAAATGGACACGGCTTGAAAATTTAGAGTTCAAAATTATATTTTGAATCCATTATTTTCAATGATTTTTATCTGAGATGAACCAGCTATGTAAGTTTTTCAAGGCTATCGAACTTCCCCTGGTCTTCCATTATCTTGCCATAGAGCTTTCCTTGCTCGATGAGACCATATATTCCGTCTGGTGAAAGTGCCTCGACAATGTCAAATCCGCCTTTTGAGCTCATTGCTGGATCTTTGCTCCAATCAAGAAAGATAGTCTCCATCGATACTGGGCTTTCATCTCCATCTTTACGCATATAATCATCTTCTTTCGAAAGGAAACTCCCGTCGATATGAGGGCGATCACGAAAATTTGACGTCAGCTTTCCATCCAAGAACCAAGGCTATGGAAAGTCAAATTGTGTATTTGGATGCCGCAAAATTTAATTCAGTCGATCAGAGTTTACTACGACCGAATATTCAATATACCAAAGCTTAGCTCTCAAAACCGATATGTTTACTTACTAGATGGACGCTTGCCATGTTGCACCGAATCAGGTCTTCGCGATCTCTGAACTTTGATATTTTCGTCTTCCCAAAGGTCGGTACCGGAGTGACTAATAGAGTTATTCTATCTTGCAATGATTCGATAGATGCTGGTAACAGCGAATCAAGCCACTCCTCGATCATTGGTCCCCAGATCCCTTGCAAACCACCCTTTCTATCCCAAACACCAGCATCTTCTGCTAATTTCAAAGCGAGATCGGTGGCTTCGTAGAAATCGATGCCGGCGGCGGTGAGTGTCGCGGTCAAAGCTCCTGCAGAAGCACCAGAAAATGTACAAGTCGATAGATCATATTTCTCTCGTAGGAAGCAAACCAATCCAGCTTGGTAGTAGAAAAAGATTCCTCCCCCAGGGAATACGATGTGTGTGGTCGAACGCGACGTCACGAAATCGTTGTTTTGTGAAGGACTTTCTTCTACATATGAATCTTCGATAGCGGCGGTATGAAGGGAAAGGTCCCACCTAGATCCAGCTAGCGTCACTTTCAAATTTCGGAGTGCGTTTCGTTTTCCATTACAAACATGTTGAAAACAACGAATACATCTCAACTCTGACGTAAATATTATCACATGCATGCAGGTATACAGTAAGAGTGTTTGAAATCGCATTCCCCAACATCGCTTAGTTTTCCGACTAGATGTTTCTTTAAAGATCATCTTCTTTTCACTAACAGTCTGAATAAAATATCAATGCACGTTGTTGTCAGGGATTTCAAAATGTATTGGAAGCCGATGGTTTCACAGCAGCGATACTGCTATGCGGTTCAGTTCTTACAACAACAGCATCAACTCTTTCGCGTTGAAGAAACTTTTCTTTCTCAAAAAGTCTATCGACAAAATCGCGCGCAAACAAAGCACTTACGTTGCGTACCATATGCATTCGTTCCATTTTCTGTCCCAATGAATACACTCTAATCAAAGATGGTACCGTACGTACCCTGGTACTGTACGTAAGTTCGTACAGTAGTACAAGATTTCGTAGCGCACGTTTATCGCGAGTTCGTACTGTAAAAGGTACGTACAGTACCAAGTACTTTCCTACCACATATCATAATATTATTATGTAGGGCCGAGTTCGTGTGGTACGTGCGACCGATGACCGTTTGGGGCATGGGGTGATTGTTCGCCATGATCGATTTAAAAAAATTGAACTTCATCCGAGTCGAGAATCAAAATCGTAATTTGCGAGGTACGGTACGGTAGAAGGATCCGTCTTTCCAACATCAAGAGACACCGAGGACAGTTGAAAGCACGAAAAGTACATTCATGCAAACAACCGAACGAGTTGTGCTCCTGTCGTTTAATCAAATTTCCAAAGCAATAACAATCGATGGGAACAAAATATCTTCCACAATACAAGTACATTTGCGTTCTAATTCTCCTGTCCACCTCCCTGGTTCAGTATGCGAGGCTACACACAAAATGGAAGAATGTTCTCTATGAAAGGATAGAAATAGTCGCTCCTATCAATGCAACGAGAAGCAAGAAAGAGATACCGGAAGATACCACTCAAACAAAAAACAAGGAACATTTGGCAGCCGCATCAACTGCGCACTATAATGCCACCAATGACATCATTGGTAGTACCATCAGTGATACTGAGAGTACGCTGATAATAAATCCAGATGAATCCTTCATGTGGCGAGGTGCTCAGTCGCGGCTATGCTCACGTATCAAAAAGAAACGGAAGAAATGGAAATCGCCCAAAAAACTTCATTTGTATCTCGTCACGAATTGCGGAGCCATTGATCAACGAAACCAGCACGGAAATTTTATGATTGGTTTGTATGCCATGAAACTTGCCGCGATGGCATTTCAAGCAGACTTCACCTTTCGTTGCAAAGAGATTCAACAAAAGCATTCTGTGTTATGGTGGCTACAATCTAAAGATAAGGCTCCGACGGTCGAGACGGAGGAAGGAAACTACGACAATTCCGTAAACAACTCATTATTCATCCCTGCACTACCGACTCCTGGTATAGCGTGTAGAGGAATGGGTCACGTCGCTCTCCATTATACTTCTGAGTTTGTCCGAAATGATTTCCGCGCCATGGCTACGGAACTATCGTCTTCGATGACTGCTAAGGGAATGATGATTGACGAAGTTGGAATCCACTTAAGGTGCGGAGACATTATCAATGGGAGAATTTCTCCAAAAGATAACAATTATGGGCTTGTGAAATTTCAAGCTTACCGAAAACGGATTCCAAATACTGTCAAGTCGATTGGGATTATCACTGCCCCGTTTTCGGAACGAAAGATCCGTCCACAAGATCATGGCTCGGGGTCCAAGTGCCAGATACTTGTTTCCGAGTTAGTAGACTACCTGCGCTCACACTATCCATCGGCGGAAATTCGAGTTCGCAATGACCCTAGCGAGAGTATCCCGGAGGTTTTATCGAGATTGGTACTGGCCGAATACAACTTTTGTGTCAGAAGTACGTTTTGCTTGCTTCCCTCCTTAGCATCGTTTGGGACCAGCTTCGTGCAAGAGGGAGGTGTTGCCTACTTTGTTGACAGTGCCTCGAAGGCTTATCACCACATAAAATTGATGAATGAGCCATTTTTGTTGGCTCGTGATATTAAAGAAAGGGGCTTCAATGCGACTCTCCGATGGCTCACCGAAAGCTAATAGCCGATTTCTTCGAGTTCCTCGAGAATAGGAGAATCTCGATTCAATTACTGGAAGATTAGTGTATGGAGGAAAGATTAAAAGAATGAATTAAGATCAAACATAGTAAATTAGTTGTAATAGTATTGCACTCGGGAGGGTATCTCGTCTCCAATGACCTCCTCTCCGTCGCCCGAGGGCTTGAATACCAATGCGGAGCCGTCGATGCAAAAGCGTTTTCCAGATTCTGCGGCGGGGGTTCCCACAAATAGAAAGCCGTCCCGGAAAACATCACCCAGATGACCGCCACAATTTTGGCACCGCAACTCTGCTCCACCTAGGTTTGCTTGCACCACGTTGAGCGGTTCGATCTCCACGCCATCGAGTGCCGTAGCAAAACTGGGCCATCCGGTACCGCTATGGAACTTTGCCTCAGACGCAAAGAGAGGACTTTGGCAACCCGCGCAGGAATAAATACCATTCCTTTCTTCCCCCTCCAGAACCGAAGAGTATTGGCGTTCGGTTCCTCCGTTTCTGAGAATTTCGTACTGACGCGGTGTCAACATGGATTTCCATTCCTTTTCTGTTCGTTGAAAATTATATCCATCGGAGCGTGATTTTTTCCATGCTGCCTCACTCCTTGAGGGCATACCGGCCATGGCGAGGGAAAAAACGCCCGTTTGCATCACCTTTCTTCGACTTGAATCACTCAAATCGTCGTCATTCTTGCTGCAGCCGTCGCTTTGGTTTGGTGAAACGTATACTCTAGTGCTAGCATCTGAAAAATTGTTCGACAAAAGTTGCGCAGTTTGTCGATCGTGTTGTACGAAGGCTAAACTAGAAAGAGATCCCCATACCAAACATATAAAGACTATAATTCCAAGCCCCTTCGTTAACATTGTCGTCGTCGTTTTGTTTTACGTTTGGGCTCTAGTCTTATCTTACAATGGAAAGAAAAGGGGTCTTATTGAAGTTGTCACTGTGGCTGCGATATGAATATGAAGTTCAGTATGAAGTTCAGTTTGACGAGTATGACAACGAATACAGTAAAAAAGTACAAATATAGTTTTTCCAAGCGGAATACAAGTAGTACTTCTGGAGCTATCACCTCTGCACACACAAACCCATGTCGGAAGGAGGACGACACTATCTCCGAATCTGTCTGCAGCTATCTTTCGTGCGACCTATACTCTCGGACTCTGCTACTCCTGTACTGTAAACTACAATGAATACCATTCGCGAAATCGAAAAGATAAATCAGCAAGAGCTGGATCGCGGCATCGCAGGAACAAGCGCTTCTTGGCACTCGCAATTTGCGAACTCAGCTTGGGTGTACGTGGGTAATCTTGACCATCAGCTCACCGAGGGTGACGTCCTATGTGTCATGAGCCAGTACGGAGAGGTAGAAGACATTCACTTGGTCCGAGAAGAAGACACGGGGAAATCGCGGGGCTTTGCCTTTCTGAAGTACGAGGACTCCCGGAGCTGCATACTGGCCGTCGACAACTTTTGTGGCATGAAGGTCCTGGGCAGGTCGATACGAGTGGATCACGTGGAGCAGTACCGATTGCCGAAGAAATTACAGGAAGAAGAAGCTTTCAGAACAGAGGGCTCAGTGAACACCGATGGCGGAGCGGGCCACGCATACAAGGGAATAGAACTGGAAAACAAATACAATGTTCACCAGGGCATGGATTTATTTGCGCCTCCCTCACCAACCGACAGACACGACAACGCAGAAGGCCAAAATAAAACCAAAGCCGAACTCAAAACAGAAAAGATGAAGAGGAAAGAAGAGCGCCAGCGAAAGCGACAAGAGAAGGAAGAACGACATCAACGGAGACAAGAAAGGAAGGAAAAACKGGAAGAGAAACACAGACGGAAACGCGCACGCAAACAACGCGATCACAGCGAGGATAATAGCCGTGAAGAAAAAGAGAAAATCCGTGATAATAGCGATGGAAAGGAAGAAAGGGAGCGAGGTCGAAACAGGAAACACAATAGCGACGCATCACCGGATGATGATTACCACAAAACGGAACGAAAAGACCGGGAGCACCGGTCACACAGGCACGAAAAGAAAAAGAAGAGACATAGAAGATCACCCAACTAGTTGCCATCGTACGGCATAGATATTTTGTACACAAGAGGGCTAGATTTTACGAGTAAAAAGCTGAGATGATAAGTATGGGAATTCAACACAATTGAACGGCTGAGATGAAAACAGTGGCTGTTCCACAATCTTGTCACGCAACTCACAACGCCACATTGCGATGCCATATCAAAACACATCATATCTCCTGCATGAGTTCATAGATTGTAGAGGCAGCGCTTGCTCTCCGTGAATTGGACCTGAGGCCTCCCTATGGCAGTTGGTAAATCACAGAGGTAGTTCTTGTGGTTTGGCTGGACGCTGGAGTAATGATGCACCAATCAGCAAGTTAGAGCTAGCAGGGCTTGTAGTTCGTTTGGTGGTAATATAAAGATTATGTATATAACATCAGAGCAGCTCACTATTGCGTAACTGCTGTCATAGATTTCCACTGAAGGCTAGTCAAGAGCATTCACCACCCAAATCCTTTATATACCCAGTGGTTTAGAAGAAAATAGCTGTATTCAATAAGCATCAAAATTGACAAAGTATCAGCGTCCTCCATATCAGTGAGCCTCCGCATCAGCAGCCTCGTATCAGCCTCCTCCTCTGCATCAGTGCCTCCTCCATATCAGCAGCCTCATATCAGCAGCCTCATATCAAACCTCGTATCAGCAGCCTGGTATCAGCAGCCTCATATCAGTGTCCTCCACCATATCAGCAGCCTCGTATCAGTGTCCTCCGTATCAGCAGCTCCTCCATATCAGCAGCCTCGTAAATAGTTTTTTTTTTGTTCTACGTGGAACTAAGTGACAGCTTGAGGTGCAGGGTGTAATATATCACACTGTTCATCACATAGGCCTCCTGTGTAGAAATAGTACCATAAATTACCTGTCATGTGATAGATCACACCTAAACCTCATACTCATACCGGTAGTACTAGGTCTCACACAGTCGCATTTCTCTTCTGTGTCTGGCCTTTTGGGACTGATTAACTCTGGAATTGGTCGCTCTTCTGTGCACCCCTACCGATATTACAAATACCTACTAGAGCTACTAAGTACGGGCCCCATAATAGCAAGTTATTAACAATCCCTGTACAAGTACAAATAGAAATTTTTAGCTCATTTTTACAGTTAAAACCAGTTAAAAAAGGCATCCAATGGATGAAAATAAAAATATTTCCATTGTTTAATTTCTTGCTACTAGTCCCAAAATATTTCTATTTCTGGTCCTTAATACTGGAGAAAGGCACTGATTTGATATTCCCAGTAGTAAGGACCAGAAATAGAAATATTTTTGGACGAGGTTTTTTGGTGGAGGGGGGGGAGAGGGGAAATAAAGACGCGAAAATGAGAAAAAATTGACACCCGAGGAATTGCCAATAACTTGCCGTTACGGGGCCCGTACTTAGTAGCTCTAATATCTACATACGGTACGTACGATAGCCCAGAACAAAGCGATCGAGAAAACAAGGCGCTCCGATGTCATGCATGATCGTTTCTCAACGCTTCAGGTCTAAGAAATAAGAAATCGACGTAAAAAATTGCTTAAATAGTAAACATAATAGTAGCAATACGTACGTAAGTACGTTATCAATAATCGAGGCAGTATCGCTCTTACTCGTACGAGTCCTACCTGTAGATAACATCATCATCGTCGCTTTTTACCCGACACGCCGCCAACAACCACATTCTTGGTCGGCGAAACTCATGTCCAGAGTATTGTAGTTTGTACGAGTACTGTACCGGACGGTACAGGAATTGTCTAGGCTTCAACTAAGTCAATTTTGTTATTGAGCTTTACATATGTAACAACTGCAAGTCTCTAATTTCTCTTTTGGTTCAGTTGACTGATCGTCATGCCATCGGGAGCGCCAGATATTGCCAAGCCACAAACTGCTCCGCATCAGGGTTTAACCATCAAAGAAACTGTGCCTTCTCCAATGAAAAAGGTTATTGCACCGAATGAAATCGCTCTCCCCGCTTTAGATACGGCGCCTAGGAGTGTAACCGAATCTACAACAAGTGGAAATAATCGATCGACTCGATCGAGACCGCCAAAAACTCCACCTTCAGCACGACAAAAACGAAGCACCCCGAAACGAGCAGCCCCAAACCGTAGCGTTACGCACCGAGAATGTGTCTGCGGCCGTGGCGTGGCTTGCTTGGGCATGACCCAAGCATTTCGAATGCTACAGGATCCGAGATGCTATTTTGTGGAATTGCCGCGGTATCGGAAAGATCCACCGGCCTTCAAATATGTATTTCGCAATAATTTGCGGCAGGCATATCTTCGTGAGTTGGTGCGACAAAATCCTACGTGCGAAAAATTGAAAGTTGAGATGGACACCTCTCAGTCGGATGTCCCGAAACAACGCAAGTATGTTGCACTCCACCATTTTCATCCAACCGTTGTTCGAGCCTTTTACGAAAATCCGCTGACATCGGCGCAGAAGCATAAAGTTCCAATAAGTATTACTGAACACGAACTCAGTGAACTTAATATGGTATGTCGAGAAGAAGATAGAATATTATCTGTTAGTTCCATTCCAACCGGTGGCTACTACTTCACACCAAACTATCCGCACGAAAAAGCTCATAGCGACCTGAAACTTTTAATCCAAGCGGTTCGAAATGCACGAGTACATGGAAGTAACAAAAAGAGGTCAAGGAAGAAGAAAATTGAGGATCCAAACGTGCCAACCAATATTGAGATTACAAGTTCAAAAAGTGATGTAAGCAATGATTCTCAAGCCGTATCAGCCACGGTCTTAAACGAAGAAAAAGAGACGGAAGACAAAAACGATAATGAAGTACATGTGAAAGAAAAGAGTTTTCTTAAGAAAGAATCCGACGGGATCAGTGAGACAGATGTTAGAACCGGAGTTTTGGATAGTGGTGACGGTGATGCCGATGAATTCGACAAGATCTGGGAAAAGTCTTCCAGAAGAGAAATTGAATCCAGCTTGCTTAATGAAACCATCATTGAAGAGGAAGAATACGCCATTGCAGATGAAGGGATGGCCAATATCGCAGATCAACCACATTCCGATGCCATTTCCCCAAAGCCCAGGAGAGAATCTCTATCTTCGCGACGATCTGTTGATCGCCCTTGGGCAACTCCGAAGTATCGGAGAGATCGAGATACTGCGCCTAGAAGGGCATCTAGTGCTGCCCATTATATTGACCCTGACCAAACAGGTGCACTGAATGATAAGCTTGCGACAGAAATAGTTGACGATGGGGAGGATATTGCTCGAATCGCTGCGGGAATGACTGTGATCGCTCAGGATAAGTTAAACATAGTATCGCCAACGCCTGCTCCTGTCTCTCCCAAGCGAGATTACAGAGAGCCACCTTCCTCACGCTTCTCGCCTAGTAGAAGTCCGTATTCTCCCTTTCGCCGGGGAACAGTCGATGATGATGCAGTATCTCTTGGTAGTGCAGATAGTGGTCTACAGAATTATACAAAGCTTGATCATCAACTTCCGGGCGCAGACCCTACCCTGCGAATCCAAGTTCATAATGATTTGATCGCTTGGGAATCAAAACGAAGATCGGATCTTGTTCAACAACTAGAGTACAACCGAGAACGCTGGAGGGCTGCAAGTGACGTTTTGGCAGATGGTATCGCAGAGGCAAAATATGCGGAGAGGTTAATCCTCGGTATTTCAAAAGCTTCTAGACTTTTCGCCGACTCACTTCGTGCAGTTTACGACGACAAATTGTTAGACGATAAGGGGAATGCCGTGAAGAATACATTCCTTCGAAATCGCCTCGCAAAGCAACGAAGTGCATTCGAATATTCCATCGAGAATACTGGCGAAGATTTCAAAGAAGGGTCAGGGCTTGGTTCAGTCCTTCTTGATTCGATTGTAAGCGCACAATTGGATATAGCAAATGCATTCGTCGAAAACTCCGACCATATGGAACGAGAAATTTTGCCAGAGCTTACTGAACTGAAGGAAGAAGTTCAGAAAAATGCACAGAGACTCCAAGCAATTGGAGATACAGTCATTTCTGAATTGAAGCAATCGGAAATTGAAGTAAAAAATATCTGGGGTAAGTACTGAAGAATAATAGCGACACAATCTGGTCCTCTCCAGTCAGCAAAACTAAATGCATCAGTCGTAAATCTCACGCTGGAAATGTCTCTATATATCGTTTCAGATGTATTTGATGCAATGGTCACCGGCGATTTGATGGAATACACTACGCACGGTAGCTCACATGGTGGAAGCTCGCATGGTGGAAGCCATCATTCTTCTTCGATGAATACGGGTGGTTCTGGCAGTGTTCATGGATTCTTAACCCCGGCCGACGAAAACGAAGCCCCAATCGTATCGTCATCTGCTTCTCCTCTTGTGAAGAGTACATTTCTACAGCTTGGCCGCATTGAAGATGGCTGGTTGATAGAAATGTACTATAAATCTGCAGTTGCATTTCAACGATCGGTATTTGGTGCAGCTGAGATGGAACTTTGCAATCTAGTTCAAGAAATATCAATGCTGGAAGAAATGCGCTTTCAAAAACTTCATCAATTTATGCTTGCATTTGCCCCTAGGCAAAGGAGGCTCTTCAATAAGTTACCTGAACAGCTGAAGACCGTGTTGGAGAATATGGTTGGATTGCGAATTGACGAGGAGTCGTTGCAAAAAGTTCTTGATGAATCTGTGAAGGATCGGTCGAAGGATCATCTGAAAGGCTCTACAGCGCACAAGTCCTCAATTTTAAACCGGTCAAAGATAAATGCAGGCGTTGACTCAGCTGAAAGTGAAATCGAATACATGGAAAAGACCTTTGGTAGTCCCTTTGCTAGTCCCATGATCGTACTTTCAAAGATGGTGGAATTGAAAACCACGGGTTTGAAAAAATTAGTCAATACGGCATGGAAACCTTCTTTGTGTGTCGTTACATCAGAAGGAAACATTTTAGTCTTCGAGACGTCAGGCAATCCAAATACTCCACCCGAAGCATTCAAATCATTATACCCACAAATGAATTTCGATGACGAAAACACTTGGCTTGCTGGCCGCAAGGCTGATATCGTAAAGAGCTTGACACCAACTGTTTCTTTTCGGCTGTCGAAGTGTGACTTTTCTATTTCCCAAATTCGAAAATCACAGATCGAGATAACCGAAGAAAGGGATACAGCTGCTGGATCTCGGTTTATGAAGGCTGTCAAATCTGGGGTGCGAAAGTGCACTCTGCGATTGCCTTCGAGTTCTGATGCTACTGATTGGATGTCCTTGTTGCAAAGAACGAAAAAGGTTCTTAGTAGCCAAGCAACTAGCAGAAGACGATCACGATTGAGAGTTTAGATACATTTCGATACGTATCGTTGCTAAGGGTCATGTTTCATTCTGATGTACATACTTCATAAATCATTTATTACTACCAGTAGTATCATCGCATAATACTACGAAGTTAAGGTTTTTGTTAGCCATAAAATATAAATTGAGTTCTAATGAAGGAAAAAGCAGCGACTAGTAATTGATTGGCAACAAATTTCAGTTAATGATGATGCACAATGTCTCACGTGAATAAATTCATTTTAAATTTTGCACCTAGTACTGCACCTACTAGTACTACTAGTAGTAGTCCCCTATTAGTATTACAAGAACGCCCAAATTATTTGCAATAGTACTAGTACTACTACTATCCTCCTTACTATTACTACTATTCTTGGGAGCTAGGATAACTAGTAGCACTTACTAGTACTAATAGTAGTACTACTGGCGGAGAACCTCAAATTGTGGTTAATATTAGTAGTAGTAGATTGTTATATCAGTACTAGTACTACAATCAGTACTAGTAGTAGTGATACTAGCTGCTGGTGCTACCTGCTGGGTAAGGGTCTTCTATTCTTGGCTATGGTGCACTGGACTACAACTATTCACTTGCACACAGGAACCAGTGACCTTGAAGAATTCTCACTGCTCTGGACTTGTTGGTGCAGAAGAAACAAAAAGAAATTTGTTTTTAATGTAGAATCCATGGAGGCCTCAGTACTCCAAAATAGTAGCAGCAAATAAACTACTGGTAGTACCTTGACCAAAACAGCTCTTTTCACCCTTATACTCACTTTGTTTGTTGCACTGGAGTCTATTTGCATTAGCAACAAGCCATTTCTTTGTTGTCTTTTGGGGGAGGAGGGGGGAATCGAAATATGGCAGCTAAGGAGCAAGTCAAAAAATTGCCAATACAGTATGTACAAATAGTACTGTATGTAACTTGAAAGCATTTTGTTTCTTAGTTGTGACAATTAACCTACTACAAAGTACAATTCCCTCGCTGGCAATCAAGTTAAAGAAGAAGGCAATTCCCCGGCTGTCAGTTTTTTCATTTTCCCATCCTCTTTATTTCCTCCTCTCTCCCCCCCCCTCCTCCAAACAAAAAAGGCTGTCCCAGAATATTTCTATTAGTGGTCCTTACTGCTGGGGATATAATATCAATGGTTACTCAAAATTTTCAAGCAGTAACAACCCTTGATATTATATCCCCGGCAGTAAGGACCACTACTAATAGTAGAAATACGAAATAAAATATTTTGGGACCAAAACAAAAATTTCTTTCATCCGTTGGATACTTATTTTAACTGGTCTTACTGTAAAAATGAGCTAAAAATTTCTACTACCATTTATTTGTACGGGAATTGCCTTCGACTTGCTAGCACGGGGATTGTACTTCGTAGCTCCACATAATAAGAAAATACGGACCAGTCGTAGAAGTAATGTACGGTATTAGAGGTAGAACAACAGTAATTTTTAATGACGTCAACGATGTCAAAATCGGTGTCATCCGTCAGTCTGATTCACCCTCATCCATCACCTGATTTTTTATGACAAAATGTTTTCCTCTACTGGTACCGAACGAATGACAAGCAAGAAAAAGTAGTTGCCACTTCTATCAAGCCAAAGATTCTCGACGGCATCCGGTCGTTCTTCATCAGTGATGCTGCGAAAAATATTAGCACTCATTCTGTGCTCCGTCTCCGTGACAGCATGGGAACAGCCGACGAGGCCGCAAACAATCGCAGCGTGCAACCGAAGAGTGGCGCTGCAGGGTTTTGCTACCGCTACATTGCTGCCGAGCTTTTCAGCTCAGGCCCAACCAGCTGAGTTCAAAAACATTGGAACTCAGTCTCCACTACCAGGTGCCGATGATACCCAATTCACAACATTGCCCAACGGTGTAAAAATCAAGGATTTTTCAGTTGGTACCGGTAGCGGGATGGTCGAATCCGGTAGCAACGTCTCAGTTCAATGTAGTGGTCGGTTACTAAATTTAAATGGAGTTGTCTTTTACAATACAAAGAATAACAATCCGGACGGATTCGGAGCTATTCCACTCACAATAACTCTCGGAAAAGGCGAGGCGATACCGGGACTGGAAGCAGGTATTGTTGGGATGCGAAAGAACGGGATCCGTCGCATAATCATCCCAGCTGAGTTGGCGTACTCAAATTATCCTGACCTAGAACCAAAACCAATGAGCGATTTAGACCAACGCGCCTTGGACTCTGTAGTAAAAAATCCTAGAAGAGATGCCACCATTTTGTTTGATGTTCGCTTGGAGAGATTCAAATAATATACCTTAAAGTATCGTAAATTACGAATTCAATACTATTTAATACAAGTACTCAATGCAATGAAGAAATAGTTGACTATGGCTGAAATGATCCTTAAGACTCCGAATCTTTCACTTTGTTCAAGACGGAACCCAATTAGCTGCGATGGTCGTTCCAGAAAAATAGGTACGAGTACCGTGTGCGATACAATTAATGGTATCATTTTTTTGTCTAAACAATCTCAAAACTGAAAACACACCGAACATGAAATCTTTTCCCATCTTTTCCTCAGATGCAGTACCGGGTATCGTAATTATTAGTCGTGGAGTTCAAAATTCTTAGGTCCCACTCATCCTCATCCCGTACGTACATACAGTACGGTAATTTTCAATGCAGTACTGGAGAGGACCCGAATGAAGAATTTTTAGCTTTCGCGCCATAATGCGCACATTTTATGTCATTCCATGTATATAACGGTTATTTTTCCAATCCAATGGTTCTTTAGGAAAGGGGTTAACAAGGTTCTATTCTTTTGGGGCGACCCTTAAACATAAATTTTATTATCGGCGAAGTTAATTTTATTAACAAGGTAATAAAATTTTATTATCGCGTTAATAAAACAATAATAAAATTTTATTAACGCGATAATAAAATTTTATGACTGCAACGGACGTACGTACCGATGAATCGTTACGTACGATACGAAGCTCTGAAGAAAGGAATGAAGGATCATACCATTCCTACGTACCTATCATAAGGTATGTTTCCTATGTATGTATCATAGGATACATCATA